ATCCCGGAAAAGTGCAGGCTATCTCCTGCACTAGTAATTCAAGAACCTAACGGCAAGCCGGGGCCAAACTGCTGCGATTGCTCCTGCAGCGACAGCGCAGGCGCCCTTGATTCTCGGCCTCACCTGGGCCCGGGAGAGGTCAGAATTCGCCCCTCTTCCTGAGCAGTGTGCCCGCTCCCTTCCCTCCAGCTGCCAGATTGGAATGGCTGCGTTTGATTCCATTTGTTACCATTCCTGGCATTTGTTTTCCATTTTATAAACGTTTCCCTTTAAGTAATTGTCCCTGTTAACGGCGTATACCTTTCAGCAGCCCTCACTGCGCTATAAATAATCTGGATGAAGATGTAAGGATATGACTTTCACAAGATTGGACAATTGATTCAATCTGTGACCCGCGATCGCGAATAATATTGGAAGGCTATTTAAACAGATGAAGGCCTAAATTGTCTTGCTTGTATCTGAATTAATTTCTCATTCATCATCATTATGAAGTGATTGGTCTATTCAAGCTCTTCAGCCTGCTGGAACCGAGCAGGATTTAAATGAGATTGTAACACAATTTAAATGCTTGCCGACTTTAACGAGGCCAATTGAGCAGCTGCAATAAATACAAATATTTTTCTAAACAGCCTTGTTTTAAATAATTACTTAATGCTTTCATGTTATTTTTAAGTGGCAATCTTTCTCCCTCCTCCTCAGAATATCACATACTTCTTTGCTGAGAAGGCAATTTGGAAATGACTTTGTGTTTTGTTTGTTTTTTAGATGCTGCGATGGGGTTTATAGTTGGGATTTGATTCCCCCACACAGGGTCAACATTTCTGGGGTCCCAAACATTGGGTAAATGGAGAATTTGGCCTTAATGTTTTTCTCTATTGAACTCTATGTGCTTGCCCCTGCAGAACCTGGGTGGAGGGGAGCAAGGGAAGAAATTTGCCGTTGCATCAGTTTTCTTACTCGGTCCTGTTTGGGCTGGGGACTGTAAACGAATCTGTGCAACTGTACTTACAAATGACACCCTGAAGAGTGGCATTGTTTCTGATTTGTCCTGATGACCGTCATCATCTTGAACAAATCAGAATTCCGGCCTATCCCAAAGGTGTTCCTTATAAAGTTCAATCTCCCAGCAGCTTGGCTCTTAGTGCAAGTAAAGTCAGGAGTGAGTGGAGACAAGAAGAGGATTTCTTTGATGGGAGTGGAGCACACAGAAAGAAAACGTTGCTGCAACCAATGGCCGGTTGTGGTGATGATTAGAAGACACCCCCACCCCTTTGCTACAACCTTTTTCTCTCCCATCCCTCACTGTGTGGGGAGAGGGTGCTTACTAAAATTAGAAAAAAATTTTAAAAATTTTAAAAAACCAAACCAACCAATCAAACAAAAACCACCTCTTCCCACTTGAAATGCACCATCCATTCTGGGCATCTTCCACAACTGTCCACCGTGACACCCATGCTCTCCTGGAGGACATATGGCAGCGGGTGTTTCCTCGTTTGGAGAATAATAGAAGCAATGGAGCAGGAGAAGTCTGGAGAACAAAGGAATCTTTTAAACTTTCATGAGAGCATTTTGGACGGAGGAGACATACTGTGGGGACCCAGGGCTTCCATTTGGGGTGACTGTCTGGGGCTGTGTCCTTTGGGTAACAATGTGCATGATGGATCTCTCTTCCTGCGGCCTTTTTCCTGTGGAGGACCCCCACATCTAGTGAGTCCTTATAGACTTAGAGCCTAGGAGAGTAGATCTGTATGGTGACTAGAAAAACCATCAGTAGGACAGAGGGTGAGATCAAGCCGCAAAGTCCCCACCCCCACCCCAAATAGGAGTGAGGCTGGAAGAACTAAGTGATTTGCTATGTAACTGGGTAATTTAATGCCAGAGTTAGGGAGCTGCTGGCCGGAATCATTTCGTCTTCGAGGCTCTGCCGAGCTCATCCGCTTTATCCTGTTGTTTAAAACGAGCATTATCCCAAACATATGCAATGCAATCAGTTTGGTCACACTTACAAGAACACGCTTTAATAAGGCAATCAATCACACGTTAACAAGCCAGCGACGGCCTGGGCTTTGCGCACACTTGGTCTGCAGAGTGGTTGTTCTTGCAGATCTAGGCAGACCCAAGCTGAGCACTGGATCTTGTTTTCAGACCTGCAGGTTCTGCCAGGACTCAGAAGCTGCAGGGGGAAATGAAAATATGAAACTTTGTTGAGCACCATCTTGGGCTCAGAGTCCCAAAACCCAGTGTGTGTGTCAGGGGAGAAGGGGCCGGATCAAGAACCTGAAACTCCTGGGTGCACCCTAGTTACTGCTTGCTGTGTATAGCTCAGAGCTTCAGGCAAAATGAGACCTTGCCAGGGTTGAGTTAAGATAAGATACTCAGAAGTTAAAAAAGAAGCAAAACTAAAAACAATCCCACATTAGGCCTCTTGCCTGGTCTGCCCTATCTGTTCTACAGACAGAAATGAAAGCTAGGGATGCCTTCATAGTTAACTCCACTCTCCTAACCAAAGTGGGGTATGTCAAGCCAGATGGCACTGCCTGGTGCGAGCAAGCTAAGCTCTATGGGTGGTGGGCGATGGGGGGGGTCATAGAGTGAGAAGTGGTGCCTACTGCCAAACCGCAAACCTTGGCAAAAAGGAAATTTCATTATGAAGTAATGAGTAATTCCTCCTGGCAAGATGTATTGTTATATCTTCCACTTCAATTTGGAGGAAGAGAGGCTCAATTACCCAGAAAATACAGTCAATTAAAGGCTGCTGATTGGACACGAGGCCGGATCATCGATCTTGTACTTTCCAATATCGCTGCAGACACCTCATTTTCCCTCCCTATTAACTGAAAATACGCCTGGCATTAAGGCAACCCGCAGCCCATTTACCTGTCGCAAGCAATCTCTACCCGATGCAGAGCAACTGCAAAATTTGCTGGGATTTGGCACTGGGGAGACCCTGGCTTCAGAGGGAACTTCGAGGGCCTGGGGGCAGGGAAGAGTGGGAGTGCGGTTGCTGAGTAGAAGGTTCCACACGCGGGCTACAGCATACAAAAGGACAGAGGGCATTTGTGGGGTTCCCATTGCCCAGCAGAGAACCCTCCCTGCTAGACAACCCAAACCTTCCTAGCTTCCCACAAGGCTATTGGGCTGGGATTTCAGAATGAACCCCTCTTGAGTAGGTCGGGGGCGGGGGGGACTGCTAAGTACCACCTGGCTTTAAGCTGAAGTGCCAGAATTCCATCCTCCAGGTAGGATTTCTAGTATGTGGATGAATCCTACCAAGACCATCTCATCCAGCCACTTCTATGTGTGATAGAGGCCCGACTCCACCAGCAAACACAGCTCTCTGGAGTGGTCTGGCACTTGTCATTACTGACTTATCTCATCAGGGGTCGGGCTGGAGGAAGGTCTCAAGGAGATAGCAGCCCTGGAGTCCCCTGTTGGAGCAACTGAAGGATTCATTGCTCCAATAGAATCGTTCATTAGAGGGATGAGCCCTAGGGAAGCTCAACTTTTTAGGGGGCAAATCTACTTATGGTAAGTCCTAGATACTCCCAGAATGAACCAAACCTACACCCAGGGGAGCTGGAAGACAGATTTCTACTTTCCTGCAATGTCTGTTCAGATCCTGCCAATGCCCGACAGGGACTTAGGAGACCCCTTTGTGAGTCCATCTTCCTTATGCTTTCCCTATATAGGCCCACGGTAGCTAAATTAGCAATTAAAAAAAAAGCAAATATACTCTCTGATGCCACCAAAAAAAAAAGAAAAGAATTTATGCTTAAATGCTAAAGTAAGAATCATGTTCACCTTTTATTGCAATATGGTTAACAAATCATAACAGCAAATTCTTTGGGCTGCAAAGGAAAACCCCAGACCAAACCAAATTCATTCCCTACAGGAAGGACCACGCCCTCCCAGTGGAGTGAAGCTTGCACTGGATGACTGAACTTGTCCTTTTTCCTCAAACACTGGCTATAAGGATGAGTACAGGAGTTCATAAGTGGCTCCCCAACAAACCCCAGTGAAGGGTAGAGTCAGGGTCCTCCAGAGGTGCTGAAGGGTTATACTGGCAGCTGAAAGCCAAGGCCCTGTGGCAATTTGGGGAGACAATGAGAGAAGAATGTAAGAAGTCTCCGTTCCCTAAGCTCTTCCCAGGGCGCCTTGTTATAAGGGCTCAGCTCCGGGCTTGGTGGCCCAGCAGAGTGGTGATCATTAGTATACATACATTCAACATTCAAAAACCCTTCTCACACATCACTTGCTAATCAGGCTGTGTGCTGGGTTAAGGGAGAAGAGGTTCGCCTCACAGAAGCTGCCTAGGGACTCTGGAGCCCCTGCAGCTTCCCTGCCAATGTCACAAAGCCAGGAATATGGAAAGAAGTCAGGGGCTGGTAGAAGCTAGAACCGAAAGATGCTATGTGATTGGGGCCTGGGAAGGTGAGACAGTCCCCAGGTTCCTTGCCAAGTGGCAAGCGTCTCCCTGGCAGTAAATCATCTCTCCCCTAAATGGATGGTATGTTACCATCAACAAGCCCCCTGCCAAGCTTTGGAAAAGCTGGTGAAGATTAATCTCTACCTGCTCTGCATACACAGCATTTTGTTCCAAGAAACAGCGATTTCCCTTCGCAATGCTTGCCCTTGACAGGAGAGTGGGGGGGGCCCGGGTGAAGGGTACGAGGGGTGTGGGAGTGGGTTGTTGCCGGTTAGCTGTTGAACCAAGGCCTTGATCTGACAGGGCCGTGGAGAATGGCAAAGCCTGGCCACCCCAGAGGAAGCTCTCTCAACCTCAGCTTTCCTGCCCCATGCCTGCTCCCAAGCAGCAACAGCCACGGCCGCTTCTGGGGCTCCCGGATCCTCTAGGCCTCTAGTCCTTGATGGTGTCCCCCTCCCACCTCCTTTCCCCTCTGAGAAGAGAGGTGACAGGTGGGACGCTGGAGGAGTCCCGAAGGCTCCCCCCCACCCCACCCCCATGACGTCCTGCAGCCGGCAGCCCCGAGGGCTCCCCCTTATCTGGTGAGGGGCACCTCCTCCCTCTGGTCCAACGCCACAGAGGAGGCCTTGCTGAGCACAGAGGGGGCGAACGTGAGGAAGGAGTCCGAGCGGGAGGTGGAGGCACAAGTGAAGTCTGAGGCGGCCGCGGCCCTCGGCGCCAGCCCATTGGCCGGGCCGCTGTGGCAGGCGAGGCAGGAGCAGGGGCCGCCGGCCGAGGCACCGAGTCCGTGCGCCGGCCCGGGGTAGAGCGGAGGGTGGCGGAAGGCGCACAGCAGTTCGGGCCGCGGGTAGGGCTGCGAGAGCACGCGGAAGGTGTCGAGCGGGCGCAGGGGCCCGCTGAAGGGCGAGGCCGCGGCCGAGGCGGCGGACGCGGCGCCCAGGCCCACGGGCGAGTAGTAGGGCAGGGGTAGGTGCGACGGGAAGGGGTAGGGCAGGCCGCCCGCGGCCGCCGCGTGGCTCATCATGTAGGTGTAGAAGGCGGGGTCGGCCGGGTGCGGCCACGTCATGGCCAGCCGCTGACGCTTGTCCTTCATGCGGCGGTTCTGAAACCACACCTGAGGAGAGAGCAAGGGGAAGAGGAGCGGGTTGGTTTGGATGGCTGCCGCCAGGCCCAGGCCCAACTCTGAGGTGGATGGGGTGTGAGGGGCCAATGGCCACAGTGAGTGGGGAAGAGTCAAAAGCCACTCGAGCTAACCAGGGCGGGCCACCCACCGCCATCCCAGATGGAGAGGAGGAAAACTGGGGGAGCCGCTTGACCTGCCCACCGGGCCTGGCATCACAATCTGGAGAGGGGGTGCTAATAGGAAGGCCTGCCTCGATGGGCATGAGGAGGCGAAAGACATTTTCCCCACAGATTTATGTCGCTTTCATCCCTGTCCTTTGGGGCACTGTCACTTGCAATCACCTACCCCCTCCCCCAAGTCTATTAATCTGGGAAAAGGACGGAATCGACCTCTTAGCAGCAGTGGCTGACTATGGTCTTGTCAGAGGGGAATTCTGCATGTACCAGATTGGAGAGTCCAGGCCCAGACTCTTCAGCAGCAATTCAGGAGATGGGCCGTTGGCATTCCCTTCCTACTAACCTAGGTACATATCTACCTCGAGCATCCTAGCCAAGCCTACCTTGATGGTAGTTTCAGGAAGGTTTAGGGCTGCTGCCAACTCGCATCTCCGCGGTCTTGAAACGTAGTTCTCCCTGTAGAACTCTTTCTCCAGCCTTGCAATCTGCTCCCGGGTAAAGGCGGTGCGGTATCGGCGCATCTGGTCACTGGCGCTGCAGGCCAGGGTGCCTTGTGAGCCGCTGCTGCCGCTGCCACCGTTACTCTTGGGGGCCTCGCTGCCACTGTTAGGACTGCTGCCTAGTGCATCGGAGCCTGGCGCTGCACAGGAGCCCAGAGAACACAGGTGCACATACAGAGACACAACACAAATACACAAACAATGCTGACTTCAGGCTGGAGGAGGGGCATTAGAAGGAGAACCCCTCAGCTTCCTCAGTCACTGATTCTGCGGGGGGGCTCTGGAAGCTTCACGGAAGAGGTCTTGAAACAGAAAGGGTTTGGGGCAGGCTTAGAGTGTGTTTGAAAGACCCGGACCTACGGCATACTGGGTCTAAAGGCTCCTAACCTCCTTTCCCTTCCAGTTGCCCCTGGGTGCAGCAAAGGCGTATTCCCTGAGCTCTCTGCTTGTGTTGGTAGGGATGAGCCGGAACACTGAATTCTTGAGGTTAATGTATTGTAGCTTGTTGGACATGCAGTGAGCCTCCTTGCTCTTCTGTGTGTGTGCATTCCCAGGTGTGGGGATGTGTGTTGGGATGCCTCTATTGCAGGAGTGGTATATTTTGAGTATAGGTTGTGAGGACATGCTATGGTAGAGAATCTAGGGTAGGTAGAAGATGATAGGAAATAGAGGGGGATACTTAACAAGGTGGTGTTGGCTGCCAAGGCCTAGAGGTAGGTGCAAGCCTTTCCCACCCATTCCCATGGTTTTGTGGAGGTGTGTCTGTCGATGGGTTCCAGCTCCCAGTTTTTCATTCCTAGGAGTGGATATTGTTGGTATAGAGAGACTCCCTTCTGAGCTATCTGCCCCCACTCCCATTAGTCCCTGGTGAGAAGGAGCTCTGTAATTAAAGTACCAACCCCTTAGACCCACCCCAGAGAAGGGTGGGGCTCTAGCCCCCCTGCAGCTGCTTTTCCTTTGGGTGGAGAAGTGAGACTGAGGGAAAGGGGGGAGGGGGAGGGCCAATCCCCGCCTTTTCAAATGCAACCGGAGACCAAAGGCAATTAGACCATTGGGGCCATTTCCGACCTGGCGCCGCCAGCCCGGGAAGTGACAAGGTAATTTGGACCTCTGACCGACGTGCAAACTGGTCGGAGGGCTGCAGCCCTCTGGAGACTAGAGTCCGCCACGGTTTTACAGTCCTTTATATTCTCGGGGCTTCCGCGTCTCCCTGTGCCTTGCACCCCTCCAGTCGCAAACTACCCGGACAAGCGTTTGATCTTGCCCTACCCGATGGAAGGTGTCTTCCCATCTCAGCTGAATCATCCCACAAAACTCTGGGGGACGGGGTGGGGGAGGGGGAGGAGGTTGGGGTGCGTTTTGGATCCCTCAAGTCAAGACTGATGTCAATGCTGACATTCGTCCAGGGACAACTGTCACTCTTAGTCCCACTGGTGGGATAACATAAGAGACCTCACACACACACCAAGGTGCAGAGAGCAAGAGTTGTTTAGGTGCCCCTGCCCCACTCATCCAATCCCCAGACATCCTGCCCCAAAGGAAAGGAGTATCTTCCACCTGGCCTGAGATGAAGGGGGACTGTGGGTGCAGTGGGCGGACCGGGGAACGGAGGGACAAGGTGGCTACCTTTGCTGTGCTGGTACTCGGCGTTCCCTGTGGCGCAGTCCGGGGTACAGCTCACCTCGATTTCTTCATAGAAATCCGATTCGGTGTCTGAGCTACTAGGTTGCCCTTGGCCAGAGAGGCTGTCCGTGGAGGGGACCGGGGGTCCCGGGCCAAGCATGGCCGCTCCAGCAGACCGTGGCTCGGCGCCCAGCCCTGCAGCACTGCCTGCTAGTCCATCGACCGGCTCCTCCTCCTGGCCTCCCCCGCCACGCTCCCGGGAAGTCGGAGGGCCGGCTCGCGGGCTCAGGCAACCGTGGGGCACCATCTTCTCCGGCGGTTCAGGCAGCGGGCTGCTCACGGCTTCGGACAAATTAGAGACCCTCTTACCAACCAGAGTGCCAAGCTGACCCCCATCCAGAAACATAACCATGTCCTTTCGGCTCTCCATCCCCGGACTCTCCAGAGCGGGGAGGGGGGGAGGGGGAAACCCCCAAGTAAGCTCCTAACCCCAGGCTCCCTGGGATCTTGGCTGAGAAGAGGAGCTAAGGCGACAAGGCAGGAGCCGGGTAGCCCCAGCGCGGTGTCGACGGCGACCGCGGAGATGGCAGTGGGGAGCTAGGGTCACCTTGTGATGCGAGCGCTCCTCTGTGCCGCACCGCCTCTGGGAGGAAGCCCCATTGCCCTCTTCTTTCTAAGCTGTCATCCTCCTGCTGCAATCGTCATTACAGTACCGCTGGTGACGCCACTCGGCGAACGCAAGTGGATAAATAGAAACGTCTGCCACAGCGAAGATGAAAGGAGACCCGCAGCTAATGGCTCGGCAGTGATGCGCCAGGTGTGGGCCTCGCTCGAATGGGGAGGAGAGTGTGAAAACAGAGAGACACACACACTGAGAAAGGGAGACACCCAGACAGAGAGGATGCAAATGGAATTCCGCACACAGAAAAGGGAGCGCTTAAGGCGCCCAGCGAGTTCCACGGGGGCAGCAGGACTTGGTAATTGAAAAATGCTTTTTAAATTTTATTTTATTGTTGTTTTGACTTCTGTTTTCTTTACCTGGTGTCTAGATCTAATACTAATGAAAGAATCCATAGCTGCTGTTTGGAAGCTGCTTACAAACCCAGGCTTTCTGAGTAGGTCTTCAACCGCTTGTCTTTCTTAGTGGCTTCAGTTTTGTTTTTGTTTTTGTTTTTTTTTTCTTTTACAAGCTACTGAAAAAGTACCCCCCACCTCAGTTGTCTGGAGAGCTTGAACCTGCAGAACCCTTTCCTCCCTTATCTCCCCAACCCCATCTGTCTCCTTCCTAAGAACCAAACTTTTTCTTCCCTTAGAGCCAAGAGATATCATTTCCCCCCTTTGAAAACCAGCCTTGTGTGCTGACTCAGTGTTCCACGATTTAAGGAGAAAACAAAATCTCTCCCCACGCAGATCACCTGGCTTATATTCGAAGTATTCAATGAGTTGTTGTTGTTGTTGTTAATTTCCTCTCTCTGTCTAGATGACCTGGCTTGAATTTGGATTAGCTCTTAATAGAAGAAAACATCTTTTGGGTTGGCTTGTCTCCGGGCTATTCCAGGTATGTCGGTTAGGGAAAAGGTCTAAAGATTGGCCGTTCTCTTCCTGTCTGTATTTTAGGTATTTCTTCGGAGTCAACGAATTCTGCCATGAGCAGCGCGTTCTAATGGAAAGGCGCTGGCAATCAGGACCCCTACTCTGGGACCACCGAAGGAGCCCAAGTAGAAGGTACTGGCCTTCGCTGGTGGTTTTAGAGCAGCTGTGAGCGTAGTGTGTGGCAAATGGTATCAGCGGGGTTTGAACTTGCAGGTTCCTCTTCTGGGGCTCTGCAACAAAGAGGTTTTCCATGTCCAAAGCTAGAGGTAGGAGAGAAAGTCGTTGAAATGTCCTGAAAACAAAACAGGCAATTGGGGGTGGGGGCTAGGATAACCCTTTGAGGAGGTGAGGGTCTGGGTCTGTGGAATTCTGGGACTTGGTGTTTGGGAGAAGGAGTACAATCTCCTTGGGAGCCAGGCAGGTGGGCTGGGTTGAGGGGCAGAAGTGAGCACCTTCTAGGTTTAGCTCCTCACTCCCCCTCTCTCTGGCTCCCCTTGCAATATTTTCCTCCGAGTTAATTTTCAGTTAACTAGGCAGGTGAGCGGCCTGCCTAGTTAACTGAAGAAGGAAAAAAAAAAAACTCTTCTGTGTCTCAAGGCAAAGTCCCAGCTTCTAAGAAAGTTCCTGTGATTTCCTCATTGTCATCTGTCTCCTACCCTTTTCTTGTTTTCTCTTTACCCTTCCCTCAATCTTTCTGATTTAGGATTGTGGAAATAATGGAGGAAGCCAGAGGTTTAGGAAAACGACTTCGGCTTTCCATTTCTCTCCTGATGCAGCAAATGCTTGCTCATCTTGCCTGGGGAACAAGGGCAGATGACAAGAAGGGTGGCGTCCATGCAAATGTCTCCACTCCCTATGAACCCCCAAAGCCACCAGCTGCTGAACACTGCCAGCCCAGAAATCTAGAGAAAGATTTCAGACGCCAAGGGCAGAGATGGGGCCGAGGGGATAGTGAGTTTCAGGACCGCTTCCTGCCGTGAGGAGATAGCCACCAATTCTGGCTTCCCCCGACTTTCTCACTTCCGCCAGAGCCTGCCGGAGCACCTGGCTTCCTCTCTCATCTCCCTAGACTCATGATTCTGGCTGTTGTTGTTGTTGTTGCTGCTGCTGCTGCTGCTAAATCAAAATCTTCCAAAGCTGGGCCTGTGAGACACCCACTGTCCCTGTCCACCCCCCATGAACAAGCCACTACATCACTGCCCTCCCTCTCAGAGGGAGGCTGGTCCCTAAGAGTCACTCTGAGCTTCCCTGCCCCGCCCCCAGCTTTGCATTCAATGGGAATGTTCTATGTTTGATCCCCTTTTACTCAGCATTTTCCCTAGAGATGAAAGCAGAACAGAATTGTGAGATCAAGGGGTGCCATTTAGTCTCCTTCCTGGGTCAGTCGGATGGAGCCGGGCCTCCCCTCACATCTCCAGGAGGGGCCTCAGACTCTCAGAAGACTGCAGCCTCCTCTGCTCCAGATCTGAGCTTCACGGAAATCCCTTTTCAGCCCACCCCCAATCCCAAATTCCTACCCAGACTTCAGCCTGGCTTTTAAAAGCGACCTCCGTCTATTTAGTTTTTAGGTCCCTACTGAACCTCTCCCCACCTATGCCGGATGCTTAAAGGGGGAAAAAATCCAACTAAATGTCACTTCTAAAATTAGCAATTGGCCGACTTCAAATGAAGGAAGGTGGAATTTTTCAAGGCAGATGAACAGAGAGTGCTGGAGAAAGACGATTTTGGGTCTTTTTTTTTTTTTTTTGGTTTTGTCTTGAGGTGTTACTGTTTTTTTTTTGTTGTTGTTGTTTTTCTTCCTGCCTGGGAAGTGTATTTTAATCGTCACTGTCATTGTATTATGAAGGTTGTTTACTGAGCAGCGGGAGAAGGAAGGAAAATTCTAATAGCGCGTGAAGCAAGGTAACCCTTCGAAAACGAAGAGCTGGTGACAGCCGCCTAAGTGGAGTCCGGCCCCAGGGCATCTCTCTCCCCTGCAGCCCCGCCGACCTGCGGTCCTTCTCCTGCTGGGGCGATCAGCTCGGATGCCGCCAGCTCCTCCAGCTCCTCGCGGATTGAAATTCTCTGAACTTCAAAAGCGGCGGGTTTGGCTTCCGCCCGGGCTAGGAGGGATAGAGGGTGGCTGGGAAGCCTAGGGAGCCGAGGGGAGATAAGTCGCGCCGCCGGTCGTTTTAAATGGAATCTGTAGCCCTGCTTGGGCCACCGGACACGGGGATCCACGGAAACACCTTCGCATCACATGGAAATCCGGCTCCGGAGAGAGGCGGCGGCGGTTGTGGTAGCTGTCTAGGTGAACCGAGGCCCGTGGGGCGTGGTCGGCAGTGGTCCTGAGCCGTCCTGAGCACCTTTGCACATGCCTGCTGAAAGGCGAAGGGCGAATGCCCAGAGACCTGGAGCAGATTTAGCTGCTTTCTTCTTAGGGCGCGCGCGCGGGCGCGGGGGGGGGGGTGGAGAGGGGGCGTTGACTAGAAAAAAATTAACTTTTCTTTCGTCAAATGTAAGAACAAAGAGAGCATCCTTCTAAATAGTAAGAGTCGCCCTATTGTTGAAGATACTGTCCTCTGGTCCTCCGTGACCTTCCAGGTTGTGACAGAGATATTTCCTGAAAGTTTCTGTAACTCTGGGTCTTTGCAGCTAGAGGGGCTGGCAGTGGGAGTGTATGTCATTCAGTCAGCTCCACTTCTCCCAACACAGCTGTCCAGGCCTCTTTTTGAGCCCAGAGTCACTGAGTGGTACACCCCTTGGGGGAGCATCCCTCAGGAGAAAAAGTTCACTGGAAGCCAAACTCCAGAGGTTCTGGCTTCCATGAGCCCAGAGATGGAATGATCTGGATTGATCTCTTCTGCGCTGTCCAGGGTGGCGTTGAAGGGAGGGTTGTTTCTGAGGAATCTGGAGGCAGTGGTCAGCTGCAGTGAGCAGCACAGAACAGTTTTCCTCTTCAGAAGGTTGAGCTGGAGGCTTCAGAAGTCCAGTTAGGACAAGTGCTCCAGCCTCTGGGCCTCCTGATGTAAAGGGCACAGCTATCTGAGACAAGAACCTGGGTGCTTCATGGTCCCCAATGCCTGATGCTTCTCAGAACCCCAAAGGTATCCAGTTCCGCCTTTTCTCCCCCCCCCCCCACTTGTCTGCCTAGTCTACTGAAACCAGAGTCTACAGGCTTCCTGCTTCTGCCTGCTTAGAAGCCCAAATCTCCCAGCTCACTGTGAGTACTGACAGCATTGAGGAACAGACCCACCACAGGACTGATACCCAAGGCCCTTCTCACCTGAGGCTAACTCCTTCCCTTTGGACAAGGCCTGGATGGGTTCAGTGTAGTTTGTTCCCATCCAAGGAAGTTCTTCAGTACCTGTACATACACAGGCCAGGATAGGTAGCCTGGCCCTAACAGAAGTACCACGGCCTCTTCAGTCATTACTGTTCTGAAACTTGCTATTATTACAAAGTCAGTTGACTGACATCCATGTCTCTTTTGTCTCTATAAGAGTTCTTTAAAGGGCCTGATAGACTACAATACTTTTTCTCCCTCAGTTGTAGGGTGACCAACAGTCCTAACAAATGACCATGGCAAGGCTGAGTGTCAGGCCTAGGCTCCTCTTCCTCAGTCGTCTTCCTTCCTGTCCTTGGGGACTCTCTTCTACTATCATGCAGGTCCTTCCCACCCACAAGAACACTTCTCTGGAGAAAAGGCTAATGGCCACATTGATGCCACTCCTCCCAACATACATCTTTTCCCAGGAAGACAAAGAGTCCTGTGGTAAGAGCAGCCACTGTGGTATGGACAGCAGGCTCTTATGCATTTGTGTTTTCCAACTTCTGCAGGCTGTGGGGGGGGGGGAA